TGCAAACACTAGTTGATTATTGTCATTACATTCATCAAGTTAATTGTAATTTTTGATTGATTATGTTACGTAACACTAATAGAGTTAATCATTCAGCTCTATAAGCCACCTGATCAGATAAATTACACGGGTCTGTGATGGTTTTATTGTCTTGAAATTTTTACATTCTCTACAGTAATTCCTGTATGCTGAATTCAAAAATGATATCCATTTTTCACCATCATGTACAGATTTTTCACATAAGGGAATCATTGTCATTGAAATTGGGTCACATATTGTTCTGTTTAAAATGTTGATAACCACTGGCTGTAGATTTCTCTAGACAAGTCATGATATGAGAGTCTTATCAATCATTCTAGAACCCGTGAGAAAACACTTCTATTATATAAATGGTTAACAGGCCACATGACGTGTCATTTCTGGATAGTATTTGTTTGTGTGTACTCTTTGATATTCTTTTTTTTTCTTTTTCATATTAATTTTTGTTACTATGGCAACAAGAGGTTGTGTAAGTGACCCAAACATATTCTTTTATATTTGTGTTAAATTTATTGTATAAAGAAGAGATGGCAACACAGAGTCAGCCTGATACCAGGATCGAAAAATATTGAATGTGAAAGTTTAGTTGACACAAAGAAAGTCCAGTTTAGTTGACACAAAGAAAGTCCTTTTACCTTCACTTCACATAAAACTGGGCTTGATGAAGCAGTTTGTAAAGACTTTAAACAAAGATGGCAACAGATTCAAGTATCTATGTGGGCAATTCCCAGCTCTTTCAGAAGTGGAAATTAAAGAAGGGATTTTGACTTCAAATTAGGAAATTTACTTCAGAGGAACAGTTCAAAAGGACAATGATGAAATTTCAAAAAGAAGCATGATTTGCCTTTAAAGATGTTATTGATAAATTTTTAGGAAACAACAAGGACCCAAATGACAAAAATATTGTCAATAACATGCTCGATAAATTCAAAGAGTTGGGTTGTAATATGAGCTTGAAAGTTCATTTCTTACACTCACATATTGACTATTTCACTGAAAATTTCAGTGCTGTCAGCAAAGAATAAGGGGAAAGGTTTCATCAAAACATGAGAGAAATGGAGAGGAGGTATTAGGGAAGATGGAACATCAGCATGATGGCTGATTACTGCTGGTAATTGAAAAGGAGATGCTCCAGATGCAATACATAAAAGAAAGACCACAACATGCAGTTTTGAGACTAAAAGACATAGATTTCACAAAAAAAATCAGGATGAGTGAGGATGCATATTCATTTGATATCAATTTTCTTCTCTTTTCTTCAGTTTTTTTGTATTTTTGCTAACAAATATAATAAAAAAAATGTTCATTGTGGTAAATGAAATAATAATTTGATCTAAGTAAGAGTTTTTTCTTCTTCCCTATTTGTAAAAATTCCTCAGGTGATAAAAAAAAGAGTATTATTTTCGAAACCTGCGTAGCTAAATTATTGAAAATCCATTATTAAAAACAAAATTACTTTTATGAATTTTAAATTTGCAGGCTTGTGTTATCTAAGGAATTACTTGTATGGTATTGCATTACACATTTTATTATCCAAATTTACCCCTATATCTGATTCAGTCTTACCCTCGTGTAGTGCAAACTGCAACATAATTTTTATTATGGCAAACATGCAACCCAGATCTAAGATTTATCAAAATATCTATAATTTGTTTGATTCTCTTTGTTCAGTTCATAAAAGTATTACATAATGTTCAGTTTATTGATAATATTGCTGGATGAAAAACACAATTTTAAGGAGAGAGGCCTAATTTTTTAGAAATCATAGAACAAAATATGACTGATATTTTGTAATATAAAGATATATCTTGGATAGAAAAGTAGATTGTGTAATAAGGTCTATTGAGGAAAGGCATTGTCCAGTAGTAGTTCAAAAGTTAAAAATTCATAGAAATACAAAATATAGTATTAAAAAGAATTTTTACAGAAAAAAATAGGCTTTTGAATGTTTTTCTCAAGATTCAAGCACGTCGATGCAATATTATGCATATTATAAGTTGAAAATTTGTAGAAATACAAAATGTAGCATTAAAATGAATTTTTACAGAAAATAAATAGGCTTTTGAATGTTTTTCTCAAGATTTAAGCAATTTGATGCAATATTGTACACATACCTGAGATAGTGCAATAGCATTGTGCTGGTGCAGCACTATGCATACTTTTCCAAATGCTGCACAAAATTATTGTGTTGCAGTTATTTCTATGAAAAATTCTCGAAACAAACTATCCCCTGTGATGTAATGAGAAATAGTATGTTAAATTTAGTGATGGAAATATTATCTTAAGGGGTAAGTTGACATCTCTTAACCCTATTTTCTATTGGCAAAGAAGGGTAAAATGTAATCTTATTGAGTCGTTAAGATTATCAAGGGTCATCAATAGAATAAAGGCCTCAGATTTCTTTTTGCTGTATGCTGAATGGTAGAATAACAGGGATTAGGTTTTGGATAATACAGATTAGGCTTGAATGAAGACAATTTTATTTCTTCTATGAAGGTGATAGCTTATGGAATGAGTTGCTGTTGGCAATAGTGGATTATAGCACATTATAGCAGTTTAAGAAGAGAATTGATGATTTTCTGAGAAAAGATGACTTTAAATTTTTGTCACTCTTTCTCATGGATTTGTGAGCAGGGACAGCCTTGAAGACCCAAATGCAAATAATGAAAAGGATGAAACCTTTGTTTTTAAATAGCTATTACATAACATGAGATTTTATTTGAAACAAACTGGTTGTTTTCTATGTGGAAATACATATTATAAACACTTAAGAGCACATGCAGTAATATAATGCTCCAGACTCAGAAAACTACATATATGTGTTTATTTAAGTTTTTTTTTTTTTTTGTAAGCTCTTCATAATCTGGCAAAAACCGTACCTCAGCAGATAGAATTGCAGCAGGATTTATTAGTTTTGACTTTCAGATGTGATGATTTGGTATAGATTAATATTCTTTGTGCACCTAAAATATATGATATTTTAGCAAGTGACTATAATCATTATAAAGAGATTATATTTTGAAAACTAAACCTTGAGTTTTTCTTAATGAAGTATACTACTTTTCGTGAGGTGGTACATGTACACGTACTGCCTTACAGTTTCACACTTCATTTTTTGCAGCAGTAAACATTTTAGTGTACTGGAGAGACTGTAAAGTACTTTGCGAAAGTACAAAATCATAGGGTAAGATCATTGACTGGTATTGATCATGAAACAGTAAAATGTATGAATATTGTCCAGTCATCCTAAGCTCACTTTGGCAGGAGTGAGTTGCACTTTGTGTCTGATTTTCAAACTCTTTTGGGTTCATTAACATAAGAATAATAATAGTAAAGCTTTCAGTTCTTAAGATGCCCTCACTATAGTATCCAGTACTTTCAGATGCATAAAAGTGTACCATATATCAAAAGCAGAGTTGCAATAACATTTTGCACATTTTTAGTAAAGTGTAAACAGTCGCATGCAAAAACATTTTCATTAGTGAGATGTTTTAGTGTTATCTTTCTATCATATATTTTAGTAATTGCATGTAAATTTTTGTGGTTTAAACCAATCAAAGGTACCTGCATGATTCAAATATACATGTACAACATAAGTATTTATGTTATTGATCTGTTCTTATATTTTAGAGCAATGTCAGAAGATAAACAAGACAAGAAGGTAGCTGGAGGTCAGTATCTTTCAAAGTATATGTGCCTGTACATAAAAGCTGAATTGCTCTTGGGTTGTATAATCCTTATTACTTGTTACGTTACGTGATAGTTTCAAGGGTGCCAAATGATAAAATGTTTGGGGTGTACTGTCAATAATCCTCACAACTTCATCATGTCGTATGACCATGTTACTATACCATGTGCCAGTTTGAATAACAATGAATTATTTAAAAGTAAAAACAGGACCAATGTTTAAAATTTACAATAAAAAGTTTTTCTGGCCAACAGCCAAAATTGAAGGACTCGTCATGTTTCATTAGCTTTGCCATCATCAGTAGGAGAAACATGTATGGCAAGTAGGTAGTTTTATATGGAAATGGTTTAACTCATTGTAATTGTTAAGAGTAGTAGGAATAGTAGTATTTCTTTCCTAAACTGTGTGTGTTATCACCAGCTAACTTTTCATCTCTATTTAGCAGAGAATCATTTAATTTACAGCATGAACTTTCTATTGATTATTTGAGTGTTATGTACATTTAAAAATTTTTCATGCCACTTTATTGAATGACCTGTTTCAACAGTGTGTTCAACAAGTCAAGAAATTAGCTTCTTTTTATTATGTACATAACCTTTATGTTTGTTAAGACAATATTTTAAATTACGTTTAGTTGGATCAATACATTTTTATTCCGTTCACATCAAATTTTATATAGACCTTTTTTGTTTTTAGTACTAGAAAGTACTGATTTAATTGTATTGTTAATTAGAATGAAATTGTTTGCTGAAATGTATGGTATGGTAAATGTATGGTAATGAAAATGCACTACTAATTTTATTATTTCCCCAAAAGGGGGCTGAAGCCCATCTGGAAGGGTCATTTGCACTATGATACAGTAGTGTATTGTCTGTCAGTTGGTCAGTAGACACTAAAATGACATCACATAGACAATGATTAACATTGCAATTTGTACTGTCATGATGTCAGTAAAAGGTGTGCATGCCATGAATCATGAGAAGAATTATGCACTCTATAGGCTACTACAACATAGCATGACATATGAATTTCAAAAGCAAGAAATAAAAATATTTGTTATTCTTAATTTTGGTTTTATTTACTCTTGAAACAGAACACATTTGGGGACCATGT